ACAACGAATCAACGCGATGTTTGAAAAACATCTATATATAGGAAGTCACGCTATCTTAATCAGTAGGAAGGTTTTTATCTATTAAACAAGAACGTTGTTTAACCGTTTCTGATCGCTTTCTATTAGGCGGGCATTTCTAGTTGAGGACATTTTTTTCCGTTTCCCAAGGGATTCCGCTTACAGGAGATTCTACTGTACATCATTTACAAGGTTTCTTTGAACCAACCAGGATTACGAAAAATACTCAGTCTTTGCATGCTTGATGTCATTTTAACCTCGCAAAATCTACGAGTCCGCGACAGTGGAGATATTCACCGGCCTATCAGGGACCACTCAATCGTCTCTGTGAAACTTTTAAAAAATCAAAGTCACCGAAACCTGATCATTACTCAGTAGTTTATCATGAGAATATTATGCATTGATACAAAATTGATATAGACCCCTTGCAGTTTGTGGGAATGCAGCTCCAACTGGAGGAAAAATGAATGGATTCTAGTTCCCAAGAGGGCAAAAATCTTTTGTTTTGTCCTCCAGATGAAGCTGCTTTGACGTCTCATGCAAGGAGTCTATATGTACATATATATTTATTTGATAATTATTATGCTATTTATTATTGTAAATAGTTATTGAAAAGCCTGTTAAGGAATAACCATTAAAGATCATTCATTCATTCAAGGATTCCAGACTAATTCCTATACTTGTTATAAAAACACTTACTTTATTCTAACAAATGAAACGTAACGATGGTGATATGATTCCAAACGATAAACTCAAGGCTTTCAAATTCCTTTTCAAATCTAACAACCTCGCCATAATTAATCATTTATCAGTTGAATATTAATAAGAAAAAAAAAAAACAACGCTTGAAGCCTACGTCATCGATCATTGTCAAGGTAAACTAAACAAGAGAAAATTTATATTAAGTTATAAATAGCAAAAATAATAATATTCTATTGTTCAAAAGCAATGAGTCATGTAAAAACSTTTGAGCGAACTGAGACTGAATTGACTTTAAGCCTCGGTTTGAACTTTTTGATCAGTGGCTTTTTGGGACAGGAGGGGTTCGTATGCCCACGTGGTGCGTTTCAATCTATCGCTGCAGCACGGTAGG